GGGCAGGGCTGGGATCAGTCAGTGATCCCAAACTGGTGTGTGAGGGGCAGGGATCAGTCAGTGATCCCTGGGGTGTGAGGGGCAGGGCTGGGATCAGTCAGTGATCCCAAACTGGTGTGTGAGGGGCAGGGATCAGTCAGTGATCCCTGGGGTGTGAGGGGCAGGGCTGGGATCAGTCAGTGATCCCAAACTGGTGTGTGAGGGGCAGGGATCAGTCAGTGATCCCTGGGGTGTGAGGGGCAGGGCTGGGATCAGTCAGTGATCCCAAACTGGTGTGTGAGGGGCAGGGATCAGTCAGTGATCCCTGGGGTGTGAGGGGCAGGGCTGGGATCACCCAGCAAAGCTGAGGCACAGGGAGGGCCCACCCTCAGGTCCCAGCTCAGTGTTACTGGGGGTGTTTTTAGATTTCCACAAACCCTTCATTGAGGTCCCTTAGTGAAGGCTCTCAAAACACCCCAAGGTATCTTGGGGCAAATCAAGAGCACCATGAGTGAGTGGTGAAGAGAGCTGGAACAAAGGCTGGGGTGTCTCCTCTGGGAGTCCCTGGGCCTGTTTGCTCAGGGTAAATACCAGGATGGCACCATTTGGTTGTGACACTGAGCAACTCAACAGTGAACACAAGCACCACCTGCAGAGAGATGAAGGAGTTCTTACTGCTGACTGGGCAGTACAATGGCAGATAAAATTCACTGTAGATGTGTGCAGTTAATGCTCAGGGTTGGGCATTACTATGCAGGAATGAGGATCTGGCATAATGATAGAAAGCACTATGAAAATGCCAAATCACTGCTCTGCAACAGCAAAAACAACTGCAAAGAATTACTGGGAATAGAGCACAGGGCTGAAATCATTATGCCAGCATTTTAACTCCCAGAGAACAGGAAGGAAAAGAACTGAAGACGACAACATTTATGAAAGGCAGCCAAACAAAAGCAATGCCTGCAGCTCTGGGAAGCACAAAGCTGGGAGTTACTGGAACCCAACTGTGCTCACACCTTGTGCCACTGTCATTGCTGAGCTCAGCTTTTTGCAGAGCTGGAGCCTTAAAAACTAAACTGCAACTCCAAATGAAGACATAAGATAGCAATGATGGCTTAGATGATCCAGGTCAACATCCACTGACAGCAGGAGAAATCCACAGGAAATGGATTTACTCCAGAAAACACGAAGACCCAGAGCCTGACCCCCTCTGAGGTCATGACATGTATCCAACATCAGTTGGATACATCAGGGTGATGCCACACTGAGTCGCTCCTGAACCACTGACAAATTCACCAACCCTTTCACAGAAACTGAGGCTAACTGTAATTCACCATCAGACAGAGCAGGAAACCCCCAAACCACAGCACATCCGTGAGCAGCTAAAGCAGCACAGGGAACAGTGAGTCCAGTCACTCATCAATGCCTGGTTGCAGGGGATGCACACGGGACTTTTCCTTATGTGAACAGCCTACCAAGAATGACAGGCCAGTAACTCTGGTACTGCAAAGCTTTTTTTTCCTTTAACATATTCTGAAGCAGTGTGATGCCTTGGAAAAAGCAAAAAAGCCAAAGCAATGCAAACTGAAAAGAAAGAAGAGTACATTTACCTGGCATATGTCCCAGAACAGTAAGTTATTTTCTGATCACACAGTTATCACCTACAGTTATCCACACATTTGAAGTCTGGGGCAAAACTCTCTTAATTCTGTTTTGACATAAAAGACAACACAATTTGTTCCTCCTGCAGTGAAAGCAATTGCAAGCTCGTCTTCCCAGTCTATGTGGGGGTCAGTCTGGTGCCTGCACATACAACAGGCACAAGGGTTCAAACCTTAGGCAGAGGAGTGAGGGACAGTCTCTGCAGCCACCAGAACCTCATGGCTGCAAGGACCAAAGACACAGCAAACGTTTCCCACACACTTTCCAGACACTTGCAAACAAATCTCACCATCAAGTTTCTTTGGTCTTCACCAAAACCCAAACATGCTCCATAAAAGGATTAAAATTAGCATTGCTGGTGAAAAGTTAATGCAACACATTAGGAACATCAGCCCAAAATGTGGATTTCAATCAGGATGGAACAGTTCCACAGAGGACAGACCAGTGATTTCCTTCCCTCTGGTACTGAACAGTCACACAGCAACAGCAGACTTGGAAAAACGTTCATCCTCTTTAGGTGGGAACTCCCACACAAAGTCACTGCTCCCCAGAACTTCAGTTACACGAACATTAAATCTCATGCACAAACAGCAACGTGAAAATCTCAATTGCAGAGCAGGTCCCCATAGCCCAAAGCAGCCCTTTCTGTAGCACCCAGTGCTGCCTGTCACACCGTACACACTGGGACACCTACAGCCATGCACAGGTACAATTAATGCCATTTTTGTCTTATAAAAGACAGTATGTTGGTACTGGCAACAGGGAGATCAAGGTTAAAGCTTAGCTGTAAATGTTTTCTTCCCCTCAACTGCTCAAAACTGTTTCTAAGGTTAGATTTTTAACTCCTCTCCTCTGTTAAAACTGAGTTTTACTCAGCTGAAACACTGAGAACAATCTTTCCATTCTTTTTGGGTCAGCTATTTATGCAAGTAGTTTTACAGTATTTTTTTTTGGACACTGGATTTGTTATTAAATATTATCTGAAGCGCAAGCACATATGTGCTTGCCTTCTGAAAAGCAGTTTATGTATTGAGTATGACAAACACATTTTGACTGCTCCAAACATAAGCAGTGAAGGTTTAACATGCAAATTCACTCAGGTACAATATGCAATAACCTTATTTTTGTCACATCATCACAGACACTGCTCCACAACTGCAGTTCCCATCACAGATTTTTCAATCAACTCTGAAATTTCTAAATACAGCAATACATTTTTTTAACAACCAGGTTCGTATTATTTTCCAAAACTCAGTTTACAAGATTTCCAGTCTACTTTTTACCTCCCTCCGTGGTTTGAGCAAAGATTAAGGACAATCAATCCTTCCCCAGCTCTATCCTGGAGCCTGTGCCTGTTACCTCATTTCCTGGCTCCTAGGAAGCAACATGAGACAGGACTTTGATGCAAACTATCACCCCAGCACACTCTCAAATACAGAGTTCAGTTCCTCAAAGAGAAATCAATTAAAGAACCAGATCTTCATTAAAGATGAGATTATATTTGAGCTCAAGGACTGCGACTGTGTTTTTGAAAAGCCACACAACATGAGTTTGATTTAGCATAAAAACTTACCCACTTGGCAATCGGACACCCCTGAGAGCTTTTTCCTTCCTTTCCCGTATAAACCACCACCTCTATTCTTACAGCGCTTCCTTTTGCTCCATACCTGCATTTAAAAGAGTTCATGAGTAAAACAAACTGCTGCAGACCAGTTTAAAACAGGAAACATTTTCAATAAAATAAGAATAACCAATTAATGATCACTTAAAAAAACAGAACCAAATCTTTATGAAGTCAAAAAAAACCCCAAAAAACAAAAAACAAACCCAACCTTTTTCAGTTTAAAATCCTATTTGCAAGAGTGGTTTTTGATATTTCTCTTCTGATGAACTTCTGCCACTAAGGAAATATTATTTGGGCAAGACAGTGTTACCTGCATGTAAATCCCAGTGCACTTAGTCACTAATGTGACCTTTTTCCTTCTGGTTTGCTACAGCTTCTCTGCTTGTGGAACATGGAAAACCTGCTTGTGCCAGTTGCTGATTTGTCCTTCTATTGACACCTCAGAGCTCTTGTTGAACTGCAACCCTGCAGTCAAAGTGCTCATAAGAGTTTGTTCCAAGTTTGGAACTGAAACCCTCACCTCATGCACATCTCAATATCATTTCTGAGAGCTCTACTTCTGCCCTATTTAGGCTGCCTGAAGTACTGTGAGCATTAAAAGCTGAGTTTTCCTCACCTGTTCTCCATGATTTCTCTCACAGCAGCAACGCTGGGTCCTGTCCCGAGGTGTGTGTAATAGGGGCCTTCATCCTTCTCTATAATTTGTTCTGTAAGCAGGTGGAGAAAACGAAGTTGGCATATACAAAATTTATTTACTGCATTAAAAGTTAACTTAGAAATGGTTTACAGAGACACCTTGCAAATGAAATTACAATATATCAAATCTGGCTCTGAAATGTAATGAACAGAGAGTAGGACAGGCTTTTTTCCTCAGACAAAGTTTTATACTTTTCTCCTCCCATTAATCTGCTGTTATTTTTTAATGTTATAAAGTAACCCTAATTATAGAAATATTTTGCATTCTTCACAAACTTTCATTACAGGAGCTGGCAAGTATTGACTACATAAGATTCCCAATATCCTTGTCGGTAGGAAAATGTTATTTTATTTTTGACAGAGGAGAATTCAGGGGGGAAAATAAGTTAACAGATAGTCATATACCACAGAAGAGAAAACACAGTCCAGGCCTCTTAACTAGCACCCTGTTGATTCAGACCAGGAAAGCGAAGATAACAACTGTACACAGGCAGATTGCTTCAAGTCTCTGACTTTCTGTCTGTGCACTTGGGTAGTCTGACAACACAGCATGTGCCACCCTCAGCCAAGCTGCGCTTGCTCTGACATCCCATCCTGCTCACAAGTCACTACCTGTGACTCACCTCAACCCCACCCCACCTCCCCCTGTGCCTTTGGCACAGCCTCCTCCAGGCCATCAGGACTGACAGGGGCAGCAACAGGACCCCTCCAGCTGTGCTGTCCCACTTATCTGACAGCATTTAGGACGCGGTGACAGTGTACTGGGACATTTTTCCCAAGCCACCCAGGCAGAAACTACTTCTAGACCATCAAAATCAGAGCCTGATATACTGCAGATAAATACAAGTCAGCAATGGTAAAACAGCAAACAGAAATCTCCTTTTCCTCTTGGGTTTCAATTTAAGTGGAGTATTTAAACCTCTCAGATGCAATACCAGAAATACTCAGTTCTGCTGTGCTTTGCAGGCCCAAAGAACACCAAGCAAGATTTACAGAAAGGGGAAAAATCATTTCTTCCTGTTTTCTAGTGGTGAAGCACTGATTGTTTTGTAACAGGATTCCTCACATTAAAGGGAACAACATGAGCACATCTCCATCGGCAAGGTACAGGCAAAAGCGAGCAGAAACACTTACCAACACAGTCACAAGTTGGCAACTCAGACTGTCCTTTTTTTGTAGGTGTATCTATTAAATTTTTTGTGGGGGTATCAAGGAACTTCATAGGTGATTCAAGGAAACTGCTGAGCGTGTTTTTTGCTGGGGAACACCCTGAGTCGCCCGTGCTCTGTGCGTGGTCAGCACCCAAACTGGATGACGTCAGGACGGTCACCTCGCCCACACACTCCACGTTCCTGAGAGCCTCGGCACAGGCTGGGACCTGGGCCCCTCCACAGGGAACAGGCAGCGCCTGCACCCTGGGCTCTGCCTGTGTGCCCTGCTGGACACAGGCTGCGCTCTCACCGCTCTTGTCGTTGGCTCTCAGGTCCGGCTGGGTAAGGGCTGGAGGCAAAGGGTGTGCCTGACTGCCAGCTGCTGTTTGCTGTACCTGAGAATTGCATTGTTCTGTAAACATCTGTAGGTTTTCAGTTGGTCTGTTCAACAAGGATGCTGTTTTCAGCTGTGAAACAGCCAGAGGATTTCGGGAGGACAGGTCACTGTGCTGGCCACGTGCAAATATTTCATTTTTCAGTGTGTCAGTGCCCAGTGGGTCCCGGGAGCCTGCAGTTTTCATTTGCTCATTCACCACTTCACAGCCAAACAACCTGTCTTTTTTTTTCTCTTGTGCTGCCTCAGGTAAACATCTGTGGAATTTTATCTGCGTTTGGGGGAGAAATAATCTAGTTTTTTCTTGTGATGATGAAGTATTTTGACTCTGTGCTCTCTGTACTTTGGTTCGTGGAGATTTTTTTTCAGGCAGAGCTATTCTGGAGTCCTGGGGCACGGTTTGACCAAGCTTGTGCAGTTTTGATGATATCCAAATGTCCTGCAACTCGCTGTGCTGGCATGACAACAGCTCTAGCTGGTTCTGATTAGCCTGTTGATAGCGTACTTCTGGAGGCTTCTTTTTGTGTCTTGGTTTCCATGGCACGGCACCGCCTTTCTTATTTGTTGCTTGTTTTTGTTTTATCAGCAAGGAACTATAATTATGCCTAAAAAATACGGGTTCTTTTTTCTGCAACACATCTTGATTATGTTTTGGCTGCCTCTCATGTGATATTAGATTAATTAGTGATGCCTTTATGTCATTCTTCTGCTCTGGATTGGCCTGGTTTGATTCAATCAATGCTGCAAGCTGAGTTAGTTGTGCAGCCACATCTTCTTCATCCTGGCTGTGAATCCCTCCTTCCTTAATCAAAGTGCCAGTTTCCAAGTTCAAATCGTTAGAGGGTGGCTTTTGCTCTAACTGGCCCAGAGTTTCCAAGTTGTTCCCTGTTTGCTGGACATTACATGAAGCGTTGCAGCACTGTCCAAGGGCAACTGCATCATGAGAATAATTTTTCTCGGTGGTATAGCCTGCAAGTGATGTGGCATTAGATGTTAAGTCAGATAAAGGTTTGGTATCTCTTGAAGACAACTGTAACTTACACATCTCCCCAGCCAGATGGGCAGGTTTATCCTGCAGTTCCGGGACTGAGCTTTGGCCATTGTATAACACTGCCTTATTCGGGAGCTGCTTCTGCGGGTGAGCGCAGTGAGCCAGGAGCTGCTGCTCATTCTGTAAGTGAGTGTCTTCGATCTCTTTTAGTGCAGAGGATGTGAAGGAGGACGAGATGTCCCTCTGAAAACCATGGAGCAAGTTGTAAGTTGTTTCTTCCGTACATTCAGTTCTTTCAGTTTTCGCTGGCGAAATTGTTTCTAAAGGGACTTCAGATAACTGTGTTAAAGCTTCAATAGCTACAACCTGCTCCACAGTTAAATTTCTGGTTTTAATCAGGGACAGGAAAGTTGGCTGGAGTGTAGGATTCTCAGGCTGTATCTCCACCTTAGGTACTTCAAAGCCATCCTTCCCTGCCTGCAGTTCCCCTTCAGGAAGGGGAGGACAACACAAGCTTTCCTGCAGACCCGAGATGGAACCTGCCTGCAAAACAGACTTATCAAAATCCTCAGAGATGCTGCACATGCAGTTTTCCTCCTTCATTAAAACATTTCCTTGGGTTGGTGGGTGAGCACAGCCAACGCCAGTCGCCAGAGCGTTTACTGTGTTATTCACATTGGTACCTTTCATCCATTGCAGGTGGGAGTTGCTCGTCAAGTCTGTCCTTTCCTCTACAGACACTTTTTTCAGTGAAGCAACGGCTTCTGGTGGTGAATAATGCAGGGGTTTGATGCCATTTCTGATGGTCTGTGCAAAGGATTTTTTTGGCTCAGCTAACTGACTGGGAGAGACTGCTCTGTCACTGTCTCCAGCATGTTTCAAGTGCTCGGTGCCCGGCACAGCTCCGTGGACGTCGCCGTTGACGTGGACACCAAAGGATGGCTTCTCATGATGTGCCCACTTCTCAGCTTCCAGGCCAGTCATTCTTTCCTTCTCCTTGCACTGCACATTTTCAATGGGCACTGCTTGGTTGCTTTTCACCCTGTATTTTTCACCATGACCACATATACTGCATTCCATGAGTTCTGGTCTGCGGCCATTTACTGGTTTGTTTTCTAAATTTGCCTATAAATAATAACAGAAAAAGTTATTGAAACAGCTGCTCAAAAACAAAAAATAGGCATAAGGTTTCCAGCAATTAAACCCTACTTTGACAGATATGAGGAATATCCTAATTAAGCACAGGCACAGACACTGGAAAATACCAAAGAGGAAGCCATAAAAATCCCTGAAGGGTAAAGACCCCATCCATATTTTCCCCCCACTGTTGAGGGGCAGAGGAAGAAAGTGTGTACATGTGATGGTGGTGGGAGACTAAAGAAATGAATGGACAGCAATAACATCAGCATTTCAAACCAGATGTATAGGATTCAATTATTAATGAATTTGCGTAAGCAGATGAAAGCCTCCCTTGAGTTAAAAGCAGGACTGAACTCTAAAGGCTTGTACCACAAAGTTCAGCAGTAATTTGGCATAATTATATTGATTTGACTAGACCAATAAACTGGCTAAACCAGTATAGCACTTGGCTGGACACTGTAGCTAAGGCTGAAAACCAGTCAGTCGTTCTTGCTTCAAGTCCTTACAAAGAATTACAAGTCCTAAGCTGAAAGGAACAGTAAGGCAATTTACAGCAGCTCACCTGGAGGTCAGTCTGGAAACAGAGTGCTCAGCTGCTGAGTAGATGGACACCTCCAGTTTCTCAACAGTCTCATGTAAGCTATCCTGAACTGTATTTTAGTAAGTGTTAATATTTCATTAAATATGTTCTTCCTCTTTACTGATACCGTACAACTCACATGGTTGAAGCAATACCAAAATCTAGCTAGAGTCAGAATACTGTGTCCTGGAAAGGGTATGTCTGTGGGCCTCAAGAAGGTATTATGAGTATGAAGTAAGGAGTTGTGCAAAGTAAAAAAATAAGAAATTAAGGCAGAAACTTGGGCAGAAACAGCAACAAAGGCAGGAATCCAATCTTTACTATGTTAATCAAATGTTTTTAGTTATATTAAATTCCCTTTTAAAAAATAATTTAAACTCACAATAGACAGTGCTGGTACTTAATCTGATTTTAACATTCAAGAGTTCTTTAAGTCATCTGCAGCCTTAAGCCTTACGTACAAGCAAACCAGGACTGCTTTTCAAATCAGACCTCAGCAGTACCACTGGCTAATTAACCCCATGTTGGCACAGCACAGCGTTGCAGTGCCCAGAAAACACCACCCAGTTCAATGGAAACCATTCAGGCAAATCAGACGCGGTTCTGCAGTCCTACCAACCAAAGGATGTGGACTCCTCTCAGAAAAGACCTCAGGAAAACAAATGCAAGGTAGATTTATGATTAATTATAACCATCGAGAGGGGATTGCCAGAAACCCCCAGGCAAAGGCAGCTCTGTCTGGAGCCCAGGGTTCACCTCTTAACTGAGACAGCACAAAGCCAGGAACCCAGAGCATGGCCTGGGTGTTGTGAGAGGCAGCAAATTCTCATGGAAATGTTATGGAAAAACACAGCCAGAACCTACGTAGCCAAGTCAAACTTCCAGAAATCACATAAAAGATGCCTTATTTCCCATTTTTTCACTACCCACAGATCCCGAGCAACAGGCTGTAAGCCTGAGCTCCTCTGCATCCCGGTGGGTTTCAGTCAATGATTCCCAGGGCCAGGAATCACCGAGCGATTACTACAGGATCCTCAAATACAAACAGATTAAACAGTTCCATCGCTAACAGTGGCAAAGGCATCACACAGATCTCTGCAACTGCACCAGAAAATACTTTAATGGTCCACCACAGGAAAGTAAAACCCCACTATTCTATACCTGTGCAAAAGCTGAATTTCAATCACCTTAATTTAATTTCATAAAGAACTAGGACATGAAATCGCTGTTCTTTCTTCAGCAGAAGTGTATCTAATATCTCTACCAATCAAAAAGTTGTCCCATCGATGTAAAATTGTGTGATTAAATAATTCTGAATAACAATTAGGCGGCTGAGGAGATAGAATCAAATAGATTAAAACTAATTCCCCACCATCTGCACATTGTCAACATGACAACATATTGTGTATTTATTATTAGAAGGATTGTTCACTACATTAAAAAAAACCTAATAACCTAAGGCTGGTAATTTGGGAGCAGGTGTGGGGAAGGAGGAGGGTCCATCCCCGATTAGCAGAGGTGAGAATATCTGACACAGAATCCACTGGCAGCACTCAGTACAAAAATATCTCACACCCTGCTCTCATCGAGGTTGTTCCTCAATAAAATCCTTCATCTGACCAAAAAGCACTGCTGTGCTCAAACATACTCTGGATACCCCCAATCTGCTAGTGCTGCACAGGTCCAGTGCTGTGCCCCTAAGACCCCAGGGATCCCAGCAGCAAAGTGAGATGACTTTTAAAGTAAAATTATTCCTCTGACATATTTTCCACTAAAACTACTGCAAGCTGCCCACACGCAGTGAGGAAGAGAAACAGATGAATCATATCATTGGCATGATTTAGTTCATATTTTACTGTTCCACATGAAGAATAAATATTGCCATAAAATCAGATATTATTGTTTTAATCAAACTCTGCCTTTTGAGCACTGTGTTGCTTTATCTCTTGTTACTGAACTGCAATGGATCCTAAAAGATTCCTTTTCTTTCCTCTCACAAGCAGAAAAGGCCAGTGGACAGTGTTGTCTGTGAAGTTACTGTTTCCCAAAAGAGCACTGCAGACACTAGCAGGGACAGAGCTCGTTTGATTCCCCCCCTCAGCCAAGGAGCAATCCATCTCCAAGCCCTGAATCAGGACTCAAAACAAATGTGAAAACTACAGGCAAGGATAACAGTGTGCTTGGGATTAACAGTGGAATAACTCCTGGAAGTTAAGCACATGAGTTTGATCTGATCGATTTCTGGGGCTTTTACACCAGTGTAATGAAAAGCTGAATAAACCAGATCAATAGGAGTCATTTCCCCTCTCTCTCATTAAGGAGAGCACTACTCTGCCAGGACACATAAACCACCAACAAATCATGCTCAAGCTTAGGCTCTGCAGTAGTTTGTGCTATTAGGGCAGGAACCACAGAGTCTGCTGTGGCCACTGCTGTAGTACTTAAACTTCATCCAGATATTATCTCTTATGTACACACACCCCCAAAAATTCACTCTGGGAACTAATGCACACTTCCAGCACACACCAACAGCCAGTTACAGCAAATCATTTCACATTCTGGAAAGGCTCTGCTATTAACTCCTCTTTAAACACAACATGTTTCTGACATAATGCAAAGACTTCACCAGTTCACAATCAGAATCCAAGGCTGGAAGCTACCCTAAAGACATTTCCACATCTTGTGAACAACAGCAGGCAGGCCATCGGTTCGTGTCTCTCATTTCAAACCTCTACAGGTGGTGACAACACACTGTACACTAAAGGACAGCACCAGAGTCAAATACTCTCAGAGATGAGAAATAACAGACGATGCCCAAACAAACTCCTGATAAAACAGCTCTGTGAGCAAGTCATGATGAGTAACATGATAACCAAGCCCCCTAAAGCAGTCCTTCCTGGAGGATTCTGCCAGGGCCCCATGAGGATACAGTGCCCAACACTCCCAGAATGCTCGCACCAACAACCAGGATGACCCGAAAGGCAGCTCTTCCAAGGTGCCAACACTCAGCAGCCGAGGAGGACAAATGGGATTGTGTGCAGTGGGTAAGTGTGGATCCTGTGCAGAGGCTGCAGCCTTGCAACCATTCCCCCAGGTCCCTCCATGCTGGCACAGAGCTGGCAGCTCCTCAGAGCTCAAACACCACAACAGTTTTCTTTCAGAAACGCTGTTTGGAAGAAACCCCAAATATACTTCCTCTAACATTGAAAGAGGATGTTTTATTCATGGTCCACCTGTCAGATGTCACTGTCTCACCAGAGACGGAAGAGCACCAGCCACCTGACCAGCACTGTTTATTCCCACTTCCACTGTCTGCTCCCCAGGACAGGCAAAAATCCAGGGGAATCCAGGACTTACACTGGATAGGACCAACACCCAGGGGAAAGAGATAAGACATGGACAGGACAGGCAACAGGGAGACAGAGCACAGGTGTGGATAAGCACCTGGATGCTGAGTGCTGTGTAGGGAGCCAGGCACTGGTTGGAACAGAGATGTGAGGTGGGATGCTGTGCAAACTACAGGCCACCTTCTGGGTAGAGCCAAGGGGGGGTTTTTTTGCATTAAAATAAAGGCAGATACAAAAATGCATTTAAGGATGAACTTCTACTTCAGCCCACACCACCTGTTTGACTACTGTAATGCAGACAACAAGGTGCTGTGGGTTGCTGCCCAAGGCTGCAGCCTGAGCAGGGTTTCCCAGCAGGCTCCTCAGAGAGAGAACAACCGAGCAGGGGCCAAGCTGGGGGCTGTTCCCATAAACCCCAGAGGCAGAAAGCAGTTCCCAGCACAGCTGCGTGACAACTGTGGCCATGAGAGTCATTGTACCCCACACTCTGCAGCAGCTCAGAGCAGGCACATGTTCTACAGGCCTTAGTGCAGAGACCCAGACTGGGGACCAGCATTAATGGAACACAGATTGCATTTACAAGATGTTCTGCTTCTCAAGAGAGCAACGTTCAAACCCACCCAGAGTCACCAACTTGAGCACCACAGCAGGTTGCATTTCACACTGATCTTACTGCAGCTGCAAAGACCGCTCTGGTTGCTTTTTTTCCCCATACCCATAGACACAACAGCAAAGAACATCCCCCAAGCTACAGTTTAGCAAAATAAACTACAGGAGACTAATTCTGATTCTAAAGGCTTAACATGGTGACTCCCATAGAAATGTAATTATTGGATTACTACTTGGAAATAGGCTCTCGGCCACAAACTCAAATTGTTTCCATCAACTCTGAGCTCTACGTTGTAGAAAGCTGCAAACAGAAGCAAGAAAAAAATAGAGTGAAGGACACTCCATTCTCCCACACAGGCATCCAAGAAGTGGATGTGTTAAGAAAGAAAACACCATAAACATTACAATACTTTTTCTGCCACAGAAGCAAACATAAACAAGCATTTTGC